GTGTGTGAGTGTGAGTGTGTGTGTGTGTGTGTGAGCGTGTGTGTGTGTGTGTGTGAGTGAGCGTGACTGTGTGTGTGTGTGTGAGTGAGCGTGACTGGGTGTGTGTGTGAGTGAGCGTGACTGGGTGTGTGTGTGAGTGAGTGTGACTGGGTGTGTGTGTGAGTGAGCGTGAGTGGGTGAGTGGGTGTGTGTGTGTGTGTGTGTGTGTGTGTGAACTTTTCCACAACATTCTAATTTATTGAGATGCACCTGTACACTCGAAGTAGCTTGGTCTCTCTAAGCGAGATCCCAATTCGTCGGTCATCCGACGTGACGTCTCCGTTCACTTAAGGGAACGAGGGTTACCATACGTAACCGAGACGTTACATTCTTAGACAACTAATAATAAACATTTAAATAACAATATTTGGGGTGAAAATAACAGTAGAATGTTGTCAAACATTTTTGTAATCTTTAAATAACGTTACAATCACGACAAGAAAACTAGACATGTTAATGTTCTTAGAAAATTAAAAATAAACGTTCAAATAACGTTAAATCTTGGGTGAAAATAACATCAGTAGAATGTTGTAAGAAACATTTTTTTACCTTTAAATAAATTATAATCTTGACGAGAAAACTGGACATTTCAACGTTTAGAAACATTTCAAAACAATGTTCCCACAACGTTTTTTTTACCTAAATTTGTTCCCTGGGATGTCAAACCTGTTTGAATTCTTCCTTTCTAATGAAAAACTGAATTTCGACTGTTTATCCATGTAGAGATTGACCGGAATCTCTGATCTCATTCTCTTACGGTGTGCAGACGGTGGAGCCTTGAACCCTGACGTCTCTGTCATGTCTCTGCGGGAACATGTGAAGTTCTGTCAGGACAGGGATGGAGGAGACAGCGTGTGTCCTCTGTGTGGATACAGTACGCCGTACCGCGCTCAGATGGAGCACCACTTAACCCTCCACAGCCAGACTCACCAGAAGGTACTGACATCAGACGCCTGCGTAACAAACCAGCCGCATACAGAAACACAACATGCTGATTATTGCTCGTCTGTTCCAGAGCTCCATGTCTGAGTCCGGTCTGGAGAACAGGAAGTTCAAGTGTAATCAGTGTGGAAAGGCCTTTAAATACAAGCATCACCTCAAAGAGCACCTGCGCATTCACAGCGGTAAGAGAGATTCGCTTCAAGCAATGAGGATTCAAATGATACTGCAAAAGGAATCTCAACAAGAAATGCACAAGCCTAAATTATATTGTTCATAAAGAAAATAAAGCCTAATTGCCAAAAAATAATATCCAAAAAAAAGAAACAGTTATTTTTAAATGAATGAAAATGACCCTAATTGCCTAAAAATGTCCTAAAAACTGTTATTTTTAAAGTAATTAAAATTACCTTAATTGCCTAAAAAAATAATGTCCAAAAAACATATTTTTATTTATTTTTAAAGTAATGAAAATGACCCTAATTGCCAACAAATTATGTCCTAAAAAAAAACCCACAGTTATTTTTAAAGTAATGAAAATGTCCAAAAACAAACAAACATATTTTTATTTATTTTTAAAGTAATGAAAATGACCCTAATTGCCTAAAAAAATAATGTCCAAAAAACATTTTTATTTATTTTTAAAGTAATTAAAATGTCAAAAAACAAACAAACATATTTTTATTTATTTTTAAAGTAATGAAAATGACCCTAATTGCCTAAACAAATAATGTCCAAAAAACATATTTTTATTTATTTTTAAAGTAATGAAAATTACCCTAATTGCCTAAAAATATAATGTCCAAAAAACATATTTTTATTTATTTTTAAAGTAATGAAAATGACCCTAATTGCCTAAAAAAAAATGTCCAAAGAAACATATTTTTATTTATTTTTAAAGTAATGAAAATGTCAAAAAAACAACAACATATTTTTATTTATTTTTAAAGTAATAAAAATGACCCTAATTGCCAACAAATTGTCAAAAAAAAAAAAAAAACTGTTATTTTTAAAGTAATGAAAATGTCAAAAAAAATAAAAACATTGTTATTTTTAAAGTAATAAAAATTACCCTGTCCGGACACTAACTAATTATTTATTTATTTATTTTAGGGGGTTACATTTACTGTCATCATCATCATAATAATAATAATAATAATAATACATAATTAAAGATATTAAGTAATAAATCTTAAGATAATAAATAGTTCAAATAAAAGAATATATATTTGAAATTGGAGTGAAATGTGTGGAAGTCCATTTCTGCCACATAAGAAAACCAAATTGTTACGTAAACAGTCATGCTTTGGTAAAAATAATTGAAAAATATGTAATAAAAGTCAGATTTATGACATTAAAAGTTGAAATTATGAGATGCTAAGTCACACAAGGGAAAACATCATGCTTTGTCAAATCATAAATATGACGAAAAGCCATAATTATGAGATAAAAAGTCCAAATTATGTAATAAAAAGTTGCATTTTTATATGTCAGACCTTTGTTGTAATTTTGTCTTTTAAGCAATAATTTCAACTTTTTATGTCATAATTATGATTTATGTCATAATTTGGACTTTTTTTATCTCATAATTATGGCATGATTTTCCCCTATGTGGCTGAATTGGGCTTCCATAGGAAATGTGACCAGAATATTTCTTGACAGATTCATCAGTCAATGACTTCCTCAAATAAAAATACACCTCATGCCAAAGTCAGTCAGATACGATGATGTTAAGTTTCTGTGTTTCTCCTGTGCAGGTGAGAAGCCGTACGAATGCTCGAACTGTAAGAAGCGTTTCAGTCACTCGGGCTCCTACAGCTCACACCTCAGCAGCAAGAAGTGCCTAAGCGGTGCTCATTATAACGGCCACGCCCATCCCGCGTACCTCTTCCCGTCGTCCACGTCGCCCCCTGCTGTCGGCGGGAGGAACAGCAGCCGAGGGAAGGGATCTCCGTACGGGCCGCTGGAGTCGTCCGTTCCCGTCCTGAGCCGCTCGTGGGACCCGGCAGAGGATCTGGCGCTGAGGGCGGGCGTGTTTAAAGGCACCACGCTGCTGCCGCTACTGCAGTCGCGCAGCAAATTCGAACACCTGCTGCAGGAGATGCTGCGGAGGGAGGTGAGAGACGAGAAACAAGCGAAAAACGAAAACAACTCTCAGGCGTACGACACCCAGACGTCGCCCACCGCCAATCACGCCCCCTATAGACAGCTGTCGTCGCCGCAGCGGGCGTCTTGGCATTCTGTGCCGCAGCAGATCCTCGTGCCTTTACCGACACCAGCGCAGCTGGATAACCGCTGGCCGAGTGAAGAAAGCGCAAGTCCGAGAAAACCAACGTCACCCGCTTTACCCGAACGCCAGCATCTTATTGGCTCGCGCTTCGGCTCTCCTCCCGGCCTGGACCTGTCAATCAACACATCGCCACGGCAACCAAACCACATCCAGAGCGAACCTTTAGACTTGTCTATTCCCAAACTGCATTCAGTCTCCGGTGCACCGCGAAACCTGGCGTTTAACGGCTACTCGCCGCATCACGACAGACGCGACGGCGTGTTTAAGAGACTGACTCCGCCCTCCCAGCAACAGGTGGGCGGGGCTTATGCAGCATCGCCGCTGTTCGGCAGCACAGTGTTCAGCAGCTTCCCGCTCTTCAATCACATGATCCCCGTCGGTCTGGGACACAACGGTCTGACATCACTTCCTCTCACGCCACCCGCGCTCAGTCCGGGCTTCCTGTCTCCAGTGGCGTATATGGTGGAGGCGGAGTCAGAATCCATTCTGAAGAGAATACAACACGAAAAACATTCGATCATGGTAAGAACACACTCAAAATAAAGGCTACTGCAAGAAATATGAGGTTCATTATGTATAATAAAAAAATTATTTTTTTTATAACAAAAATGTGTTCTAAATATGCATAATAAAAATATAAAGATAAAAATATGATATTCATTATAACAAAAGTTTATTCTAAATATGTGTAACAAAATATAAAAAACAAAAAATATGATATTCATTATATAAAAATGTATTCTAAATATATGCAATAAAATACAAAAATACAAATATGATTCATTATAACAAAATTTATTCTACATGTCTAATAATACACAAAAATATGACATTCATAATAACAAAAATGTATTTAAAATATATATATAATAAAATATAAAAATAAAATTAATGTGAAAAACAACAAAAAGAAGACCAATGTAACACCTTGACAAGCATAGTTTCCTGTCCTGTGTAGACATATTTCCTGTTGAAACAGGAAGTTGGGGTTGAACATATTGTCAATATTAATATTTTTTTGTAATACCCATTGATTTACATTTTTTGTTTATTTTATTGCCAGGAAACGAAATGTTTATCAAATTGACTGTTTTATTGATTTGTTTACAGAAAATCATGATGTTCATAATATCTTCAAGCTTTATAGTAGCATTCAGCAGATTAGAACCGGACTATAATACAGTTTAGTTTATCTGCTAAAACTTACATTTAACATGGTTTTGACTCAAAGTTATTTATCTAAAGTTATTTTAACTGAAAGCCATGAAACATTGTATTTACGGTTTATGATCTGAACAAACACCAGTTATTTCATACCTTTTAATTAAATTAGCAAAGACCACTAATTACAAAATCAAGTAATTGTAATGAATTATATTTTGTTTATTAATGCAATATCAGCTTTAATCTTCAATTTACTTAGTAAGCAAATTAAATGACATTAGAATGTGAAAGACCGATTTTACACTCTTAGTCATAAAAGCAGAATATGAAACGTTTACTATTTATAAGCGCACGCACATAATGCAAGAGTGCATGATATTGCAGCAGCTGCGCTCTGAAGATGATTGGTTTCCTCTGCTTGAGCTGTAAACAAACACGCCACGCAGAGGGAAATTCCCTGCACTTCGTGTCTGTTTCCACACGTCTGCACACTCATATCTGCACTCAGCATGACAGCGTTTCACGGCGGACAATCTCTCTGAACGCAGGCATGCTGGATATTTGAAATATGCAAGAGCATTTTTTTTTTTAATTATAATTTTTTTTTTTCTGCAAAAAATGCTTTTCTTACTTAGATTTTTTTTTGTCTTTTTTTTCCAGCCAAAATATCTAAAAAAAAAAAATTCTAGATTTTCTAGACAAGTAAAAATTATTGTCTTGTTTTCAGAAAAAAGATAAATAATCTTATTTCAAACAGAAAACAAGATTATTTTATATTATTATTTTGCTTGTTTCAGGCAAAAACTCACTTAATATTAGGGATGTAACGAGTAACCGCGAGCCGGTTGAAAATCGATTCAAATATGTGACGATTCAAATCGGTTGAGATGCCAAACAAATCGCGATTCAATTAGGGGTAGGAGTTTATATGAATGTATGTCTGAGGGGAACTTACTGTCTTTAGAAAAGTTTAGATGATATTTTCTCTTTTCAATTTGCCTCTGTATAATGCATATTAAAGTTTTATATGCATATTACAGCGGTAACCAAGGAAACACTGTGTCATTGCTGTTAATAAGTGCAGCTCTGCTTTGTTTACAGCGGTAACCAAGGAAACACTGTGTCATTGCTGTTAATAAGTGCAGCTCTGCTTTGTTTACAGCGGTAACCAAGGAAACACTGTATCATTGCTGTTCATAAGCGCAGCGCTGCTTTGTTTACAGCGGTAACCAAGGAAACACTGTATCATTGCTGTTCATAAGCGCAGCGCTGCTTTGTTTACAGCGGTAACCAAGGAAACACTGTATCATTGCTGTTCATAAGCGCAGCGCTGCTTTGTTTACAGCGGTAACCAAGGAAACACTGTATCATTGCTGTTCATAAGCGCAGCGCTGCTTTGTTTACAGCGGTAACCAAGGAAACACTGTATCATTGCTGTTCATAAGCGCAGCGCTGCTTTGTTTACAGCGGTAACCAAGGAAACACTGTATCATTGCTGTTCATAAGAGCAGC